ACAAAAAGGAAAGATTGGGTAGGTATTTGGTGCAGCAGGTAATATGCTGCTTGTGACACCCACAGTCCATATGGGAATTCCTAGTTTAAAGTCTAGACTATGTGTCCATTTTCAGCTTCTTGAAAATGCGTACCCTGGAAGCCTACAGGTGAAGCTCAAGTACTTGAGTCCCTACTACCCACAATGGAGTTATAGACTCCTGGCTTTGACTTGATCCATCCCAATGCAGTTGCTCTGCCTTTCAAATAAATCAAAACAAGTTTTAACAAAAAAATAGAAGCACAAGATACTTACTGAGAAATATATTTGCATGTTACATGCCTGGCGAAGGATTTTTCTGAGTTTCTATAATGCAAACTCAAAAATCAACAATAAAAAAACAAACTACCCCATTAAAAATCATCTATTATTTTTCACTTTATGTTTCTGTGTGGGAGCAAACTGTTGAAATCCATACTTAATGTATACTAAGCTGATCTTCTGCATATTAAGATAATCGAAAATGAATCTTGATGTGAATGGAAGGGGAGAGGGAGTGGGAAAGGGGAGGGTTGTGGGTGGGAGGGACGGTATGGGGGGAAAGCCATTGTAATCCATAAGTCGTACTTTGGAAATTTATATGCATTAAATAAAAGTTTAAAAAAAAAAAAAACACATGGACAAATGACTTGAATAGATGTGTCCACAAATAAGGTATAAGAATGATGACAATGCACATAGAGATGTTTATAACGTTACTTATTAGGAAATTCCAAATTTTCCTGAGATACTACTACATGCTTTATAGATGGTTAAAATGGAATACATATATATGTATATATATATATATGTATTGATAAAATCAAGTGCTGCTGAAGAAGTAGAGCAACTGGAACCTTCATATATTGCTAGTTGGAATGCAAGATGATAGAGCCATTGTGAAAAACAATTTGACATTTACCAGCAATGTAAATGGTACCTATCCTAGAGAAATGACATTATAGTTGATTCATAAAATTGTACGTCAATGTTCAGAGCAGCTACTCAGAATTTCCAATGACTGGAAATTTCCAGAATAAGTAAATGGCTGAACACATTGTGGTATTTAATTCAGTGGAATGCTGCTCAGGATAAAGAACATGAATTGTTGAAGCACATAGCAACTTAAATGAATTTGAAAACTATTGTGCTGAGTAAGAAAAATAAGTTTTAAGAGCTTAACATGTTTCCACTTACATGGAATTTTTAAGAAGTTAATACTAGTTTGGTGTAGAGTACATTATTGGTTCCTAAGGGTGACCTTGGGGGGATATGACTAGAAATAGCTTAAGGGAGTTTCTTGAGTGATGCAGTTGATCTGTACCTGATTTTGATGGGAGTTAGAAACATACACACATGTGTTTATGAAATTGTATACCAAAAATAGAATAAAAGTCAGTTTTAGCATATGATAATTAGAAAATTCATATGCATTTCTAAACACTGCTAATATTTAGTTTAAAAATTTTAATTGTTCAAAATCAAGTATCTAGAAATGTAACTAATAAAATATGTTCAAGTTTTTTTTTAAACTTTTATTTAATAAATATACATTTCAAAAGTACAACTTTTGGATTATAGTGGCTTTTCCTCCCATAACCTCCTTCCCACCCGCAACCATCCCATCTCCCACTCCCTCTCCCATCCCGTTCTTCCTCAAGATTCATTTTCAATTATCTTTATATACAGAAGATCAACTTGGCATATAGTAAGTAAAGATTTCAACAGCTTGCACCCACAGAAATACACAAAGTATAGATTTTTATTTATTTGAGAGGTAGAGTTATAGACAGAGAGAGGCAGAGACAGAGACAAAGGTGTTCCATTTAGTGGTTCATTCCCCAGATGGCCACAACAACCAGAGTTGGGCCGATTGGAAACCAGGGTCCAGGAGCTTCTTCCAGGTCTCCCAAGCACTTCTTCTACTGCTTTCCCAGTCCATAAGCAGAGAGCTGGATCAGAAGAGGAGCAGCCAGGGCATGAGCTAGTGCCCATATGGGATGCTGACATCATAGTGGGAGGCTTAGCCTACTACACCACATACTGACCCCCAGGTTCAATCTTTTGAGAAGAAAATTTTATTTAAGATATTAAAATACAAATAGACTGACATGACAGAACATCAGAAAGGAAGGAGGAACACATTGGAAGTTAGTAGTTTTTCAGGACTTAGAAGATTAAGATAAGAAAATATGGCCTTAATTTGATGTTGGACCAGACGAATATGAGTACGTCAGAATAAGATAATAGATATTCCAGATCAAAATCCACAATTGTATGGAAACCTGATTTAGGACAACATGGCCAATATTGACACCAAAAGTGGGTAATTAATATGGACATAAATAAAATTGGCTGTCTGCCTCACACCATACACAAAGGTTAATTCAGACTTAAGTGTAAAAGGGAAAATACCCCCCCCCAAAAAAAACATTAAAAAACTACCGGAAGACATTTAAGGAAATACTTCTTTAAACTTAAGTTAGAGAAGAATCTCTTGAATAGTATTTTAAAAACTACAACAATAAAGAATAACATGGTTAAATGAAATTATGTTGAAATGAGTATTAAGGAAAGCACCATTAAGATAGTGTAAAGACAGATGATAGATTTTGGAATCAACAACAATAAAAAGGAATTAGTCCAACAGAAAAAGAAGCAGAAAGCATGATCAGACAAGGCATCATAAAAGCACATAAGGGGCTTAAGGAATACGAAAAAAAAAGTTCTACTTCCTTTAATCAGGGAATTGCTATCTCATGCCCAGCTTCTTGGGAAAAAAAAAAAAAAAAAATCAAAGTCCGACAATTTGAAAGGCTGATGAAAACATAGTATTACCTGAACTTGACCTAGTGATGATAGGAATGTAAGTTTGTGACAAGTATATATCATTATCTAGTGAAATTGAAGATGCACACATTTAATAACTTTATTCTTCATTTCTAAGTGTTGACATAACTGGATGTCTTACCTTTGGACACCAAGCAGAAAACATGTATAACAGTGTTCAGAGTAATGTTCTTTCTAGCACAACAAAACTGAAATGTGGCAAAAATAAAATTTGAAGTAACCCACATTTACATCTGTAGAAGGATTATATAATACCATATAAGGAACACTATGGAAAAAGAAGAAATGAGTTTTAGCTACTTAGATGAACACAGATTCATCAGAATCTCAGGAATACTGACTCAGAAACCTTTATTGTAAATAAGGCTCCCTTCTGACGTTTCTGCATCTATAAAAGCCTCATCATCATGCAAATTAGTGTCTCTATGATATAGCTTTGTGGTTGGTAAGAGTGTTAAAAACTGAATTTCCATGGTTTTGAAACACTGTGTGGTGGGGTAATCAAATGGATCAGTGGAGAATAATAATTGAATTCCCTCCACCTTGCACAGACATTCTTAATACTTATAAAAATTCTGGTCTTTGACATCCCATCACTAGATTCAGCAACCTGAAGCACAGTATCTTAAAATGTGTTTAAGTGTCTGGCATTGTCTCAAGAAATTAGTTTTTCTACTTCATTACATTCTGCAAGCAGGTGAATTTTAACTGTTTAACCTTTCTGGGTAACACACAGGCAGTGTTATGAATACACAGGAGCTTGAGCGGGGAGTGAATTAACACAAAGATAAAACTTAACTTCATTTATGTTTCCATTTAAGGAATAAAAAAGAAATGATCGTTTGCGTTCTGTGGACTGTCACCCCTGTCACCAGTGCTTTATGAGTTGAGATAGGCTGTTAGTAATGAGGATTTCTGTTAAAACAGTTTACAGCCACTTGTTGAGTGCCTGTTGTAGATTGTAGAGAATCTTTAAAAAATACTCTTTTGTTTGAAAAGCACACTATATGTTATGATTCACCAAAGGTAAACATCTAGTTTGTTTATATCTCCTCTGCTTAAAGAAGGAATTCTCCTGAACGAAGCAGGTAGAACAAGAAGGTTGTAGTCAAGTCAAGCCCTCAACAGAGGCATCGTGAAAATATGCTAGACTTTTGAATAGAGGCTGGAGAGAAAAACTGAGAGAGAAAGGCCTATGCTAGAGAATCCAGGGTGTTTGGGTGGAGGTGTGTAGAAAGATATTCATTGTAGGAGAAGAAAAGTGGAAACACCTTCAGGATAAGTGCTGATTTACAAGAAAATGTCAAAATATATTTATATAGTGAAGTAACACTTGGGAACAATAATGTGAGTGAACAACATTTATATCTCCTAGCACAGAATAAAAAATACTCAAAGAGTAACCTGCCACTTTAATTCATCTTATAAAGATGAATTACATAAGCAATTTAAAAGAGATTGGCAGAATGCTTCCTGAATTCATTATAATTATTTTCCCCATAGAAGGCAGGAAAATGGGAACAGAGTTGAGCATTTAGTGGACTGCACATTTCCAAATCATGTGTTATTTCTTGAAAAGAAATTGAAAGGATAATAAAGCACTTGGAGTTAAATTCCTTTGGTTTCCATGGAAATCTGCAATATAAATCTTTAACTCTTTTGGGGTAAAGTATCTCTTCATAAAAATAAGTTGAGTCGGCCGGTGCTGCAGCTCAATAGGCTAATCCTCCACCTAGCGGCGCTGGCACACCGGGTTCTAGTCCCGGTCGGGGCGCAGGATTCTGTCCCGGTTGCCCCTCTTCCAGGCCAGCTCTCTGCTGTGGCCAGGGAGTGCAGTGGAGGATGGCCCAAGTGCTTGGGCCCTGCACCCCATGGGAGACTAGGAGAAGCACCTGGCTCCTGCCTTCAGATCAGCGCGGTGCGCCAGCCACAGAATGCCGGCCGCGGCGGCCATTGGAGGGTGAACCAATGGCAAAGGAAGACCTTTCTTTCTGTCTCTCTCACTGTCCACTCTGCCTGTCAAAAAAAAAAAAAAAAAAAAGTTGAGTCAAGAAATGGACTTAACCATCTTAGTCTGCATTTGGTCATTCCAGGGATGCAGTGGGTTTAGACTTCCGTTGTTTCTCTTACAGGTAAATGTCACTCGCGAAGACTCACCAAGTGAAGACCCTATCTTTCTCAGAACTTTAGGAAAAGGAGACTGGTTTGGAGAGAAAGCCTTGCAGGGGTAAGTTACACAGTATTTTCTTCAGTACTGTATAAATTCTTGTCTTACATTTTGAGCTCCTTTGTAGATTTTGTTACCCTGGCTGGATATTACATAGTGTATTCATGCATCAAAGTATCATATGGTACCCCATAAGTATGCACAGTATATGTGTCAGTTAAAAATCAAAATAATTTAAAAAATTAAAAAACTAAAATTGGATAAAGAAAATGTTTGAGCTCTTAGCAAAATACTTTATAAGTGATTATCCAAATATGAGATAAAAAACCTTGTAAATCATTTTTATTTATTTTCTGCTGGACTTGTATCTCTTTAGATAGGCTGTGGGACTGATTCATTTCTAATAACTCATTGTTAAATTAGTTAACAATAACTATTATTAGCAATATTTATATTAATATCAATATTATTAATATATTGACATTAATATTATATAATTATGTATAATTGTATAATGTATTATATAACATATATAATATAATTGATATTAATAATACTATAAATATTAACAAATTTTATAGTAATATTAATAATATTATTCACAATAATTAGTTAAATTAGTTAACAATAATTTAACATTGTTAAATTAGAAGAAGTATTCTGTATTTTTTAACTGCAGTCTCTATAATGAATCCAAAAGAGAAGTTGCCACTGAACTTACTTTCTGCACTATTTTATTCAGAATCATTAATGATGATTGAGAATTCTGAATGCCATGAATCTGGTTGTACAAACACATGATTCGAAGGCAGTGAAGGAGATAGTATAATAAATCATTTGTTTCCATTAAAAAAAAATACACACAACAGTGAAGACTTCCCAGGGTTCACCTCTCGGAGGTGATCATCCCTGTTGTAGTAGGTGGAGGTAGAGGTAATTCACATAGAAATTCACTTGGCGTGGGCTCTGAAGGAGGAACTTCAGAGGTCTGCACATTTTTAAAGTTTGTCTGTCTATCTGGCTATCTATGAATGAGACACAGAGATATTCTGCATCGCTGGTTCCTTCTCCTAAAGGCTCACAATCACCAGGGCCACAGCTGGGAGCTGGGAGATCCGTCCAGGTCTCCCATGTAAGCGGCACAGATTCAGCTACATTCGCTATCACCTGCTGCCTCCCAGGCTGTGCATTAATTAGCAGGAAGCTAGACTTGGGAGCAGACCCAGAACCTTGAACTCAGGCTCTCCCTTATGGTAGGCAGGCATCCCAGGAGATAGCTTAACCACTGTGCCAAACCCTCGCGCCCGGAGCTGTACATTAAAGTGACTTTAACCCTGCTTGTAAAGTAAGACTTCAGGAAGTAAGCACTTGAGATTTCTTCCCATATATTAAGGAAGAACAGAGTGGTTTTTGTACAATGCATTTTACAGAATACATGACAAATATATTTGGAGATCCATCTCCTGTTCTCCAATAAGTAACATATCTCACTTGTCAGTAAATATAAATGAAACTTTTCAAAGTTCAGTTCTTTGGTATGTGCATCACTTGAATAAGAAATAACCAATAAGCATTAATTTTTGTATCAAATTCCAGGGGTTGGAATGTCTGGTAGAGAGGAACAGTTATAAGACATAATTCATTCCTAAAATATTGGGACGGTCACGTTTGCATCCATTTCAAATTCTGCTTTGTTTAAAACATTAGATTAAGCATTTTGTGTAAAAGTACTGTGAGGAGATAGTTCAGAGATTTTCTTTTTTGAACCCACCATCAAATGGCAGGTTTTATTTTCTTTCTTGTTGTTTCACAGCTTCACAAATCAAGAAGTGATATCCAGATAAGTGATCTTACTCAGGCCACATTACCTTAGGAAAAGTCAGAAATAAATGCAATCAACCTTTTTTTTATTTTATTGATTTCCTGTGATCCTGAACAAATGAGCATGGAGTTGACATTAGATTTTTTTCCAGTGGCAAAGTTGGAAGAAGTATCTTGTCCAGGGTAGATACACAAGGAATATATTACACACGATCTCCTAAGTATAAAATGCATAATCATATCATTTGTACCTGGTCTTTCTCTTCATTATTGTATCTCTAGAGCAATCTATAGAATGATATTACTTGATTCCATTGGTTCACAATTATTTCCAAATAAACTGAAAAACATAAAACATTGATTATTTCTGTGATCACAAGAGGAATGCCAGAAAATAGGGCTTGATTGGGGATCAACAGGTTTTCTTTTGTAGCTTAATATCACTGAATTTGGGGGCCAAGTAAGGAAAAATTTCATGATGAGAATACCTTCCTAGAGTGTATCCCAGGAAATAACCTAACCTTAGGGATGTCGTTTATGGAGAGTGCCAAATTTTGCTCTAATGTCAACATTCAAGTCAGTGACACTCCATTTACATGGAATCCTTTCTGGCCTGTGCTTCTGTTTGTGAACTGGCTGCTGGCCGCCAAGACTTGCTTTTGCAAGCATTCAGCATACTTCACTGGCCATCTCCTGAGGTTAAGGAAGCAACTCAGGACTCGACCCTGTCACCCCACTCAACTCCCCTTCCACTCCCATCTGTCTTTCTGTCTTAAGGCCTGTACGTTCACTTTCTCCATCTCCACCCTGGCTCTATTGTTCTCCTCTGAGGACCCTCTTAGATGTCACCGGAGACTGGCTCATAGAATGGTCTCATTTTTTTGTCTCCATGTGACTTCATCTTTCAGCCCTGTTTCACACCATTGACCACTTCTCAGTTCTTTAGATTCTGTATCTTTGGAGATCCTTTATGTCACTAGCACTCTAGAATTTATTTCACTTCCTGAAGTTCACCCATATGTTTTCCTCAGCTGTCTGTAGTACATGCATATTGGGAAACTCAGTCATTGTAAATCTCCTTAATGAAAAGACGTCTCAAATATTTATGTTCTTATTTGAGCCTTGCATCTGGCACTTATCGGATCCTCAACATGTGTTTGCTGTATGAATGAGTGACAGAAAAAGTGTACCTCTCCAGTGAGGCCTAGTCTTGGAATCTTTCTTGTCACTGATGACCTTCACCACTTAGATTTACTTGGGGCTGCGTAAGTTCTGAGCTTACTTGACCATAGAGGACAGTTCAGTCAGGTACATGAGTAAAATAAAGTGAGAAACATGTAGAAAAATGGAAAGACTTCTGTATGATGACAGCGGTTCCTGAACTCTAGCTTGTTGTTACTCTGCAAGAATGTGACAGCAGACTTTTAGGAAAAGCAGGAGGGGCCGGTGCTGTGGCCTAACCGGTAAAGCTGCTACCTGCAGTGTTGGCATCCCTTATGGGCGCTGGTTCAAGTCCTGGCTGCTCCACTTTTGATCCAGCTCTCAGGTGTGGCCCAGGAAAGCAGTAGAAGATGGCCCAAGTCCTTAATCCCCTATACCTGCATGGGAAATGTTTAAGAAGTTCCTGGCTCCTGGCTTCAGATCGACACAGCTCCGGCCATGCAGCCATTCAGGGAGTGAACTAACAGATGGAAGACCTCTCTCTCTTTTTCTCCCTCTCTCTCTCTCTGCCTCTCCTAGTCTCTCTGTGTCACTCTGACTTTCAAGTAAATAAATCTTAAAAAAAAAAGAGCAGGGAAATCCAGATTTTGGAATTTTTTTAAAAAGATTTATTGATTTGAAAGGTAGAGTTAGAGAAAGAGAGAGAGAGGTCTCCCATCTGCTGGTTCACTCCCTAAAGGGCTGCCATGGCCTGGGCTGGGCCAGGCTGAAGCCTTGATACAGGAGCTTCATTCAGGTCTTCTATAAGGATGGCAGGGGCTCAAGGACTTGGGCCATCCTCTGCTGTTTTCCCAGGCACATCAGCAGGGAACTGGATAGGAAGTGGAGTGGCTAGGACTCGAACCGGCACTCTTATGGGATGTGGGTGCCTCAAGTGGCAGCTTAACACTCTATGCCACAGCGTCAACTTCTAGTTGTTGTTGCTGTTGTATTTAAAACCTAGGAAATATGATTTTTGTAGTTTGTTTTTAAAAGAAAAAACTCTACAACAAACCTTTTTTTTTTTTTTCAAATTGTTTGGTTGTGGGCTGGTGTTTTGTCATTTTTAGCAACCAGATGTGTCTCTGTAAAAATCCTACCTAGCCTCAGAGGAAGGAAGCCTGTCAGGTAATCTGTTTTAATAATTTTCTTTTTTTTTTTTTTTTACCTTCTCAGGTTTTTGATGTCCCATACCTATAAGTTTTATACTCTGTGTCCCTCTATTCTCTTCTGTGACTTTTCCTGTGAATTTCAGTGTTAGACACCAGAAATTCTGACTTTTCAGAAATCACATTGATTTGTTACACTTGTTTCCCTCTAAATAATTTAAAAACTGGTGTAACTTCAACATATACAGTCTTTAAGGCAACTATGTACTCTTCTATTCTTTGGGTAATGGGTATAATTGTTTGCAAACCATCTTTTTTTAAAATTTTGAAGAGAAATTATAGTCACTATTTTGTATACAGAAGCAGGATTTCAAAATAAGGATTTCTGATAAATAACATTTATATATGGCAGAAATTTTGGTTTTATTTTTCTGAGGATGCCTAGTACATTATGAACTGTTGATACATAGGTGATTGCTGATAAGATAAAATGACTACATCCTTGACTGTTCTTTTAAAGTGAGACTGCCTTTTATTAATAATGATTAAGCTTGTAATAGATAATTAATTAACTGGGAAATGTGAACTCAGTAGCCTAACTCCACAACTTAGTCTCCTGACTACTACCTCTAAAAGTACCAAAGTTGGTTTCCTAGTTAGATGGAAGGAGTAGTTATTAAATTTATCCATCTTATAAATTGTGTTTTTAACTTCCATTAACCAATAGCCTTTCTTTTTATTTTATTTTATTTTATTTGACAGGCAGAGTTAGACAGTAAGAGAGAGACAGAGAGAAAGGTCTTCCTTCTGTTGGTTCACTCCCCAAATGGCTGCCACGGCTGGCGTGCTGCGCCGATCCGAAGCCAGGAGCCAGGTGCTTCCTCCTGGTCTCCCATGCGGGTACAGGGCCCAAGAACTTGGGCCATCCTC